CCCGGCCACTGCCCGCGAGAGGGCTACGGCCTACGCCCTCCCCACAAGGCCACACCAGCCCTGGCAGCTATCGCAGCAACAGCAGCTTCGTGCCCCCACCACCGCCTCCTCGCTCCCACCACCGCCTCTTCTTCATGACCCCGCCACACTAGTTAAATTTCTCCCGGCTCCTTGCTCCCCCCGCCCCGCAGAGAGCGCCGGAACTACCGACGCTGATTGCGTAATCATCCAGCGCCGCCGGATGACGTTATCCAGGGCGTCGGAAACCAAACTGCTGAACTACAGAGTTTGGGTTACCTGTGGACTAGCAGTTGAGAGGCAAAGGTGTCTGCCTTCCTTCTCCAGGCGACCTTAGGAGTTACTGAAAAGAAAGGAAGGAGGCAGGCAGCTTCTCAGTTTAAACCTTTTTTATTTTTTTTCCTCTTTCTGGTCAGGCCCTCTCGGATGCTGAGCTTCACCCCCAACTTCCTTATCTCAAATCCTTACACAAACTATTAAAATCACCTGATTTTAGAGGGTCTCCGGAGGCAGTTAAAGAGTATGCGAGCAGGGTCTAATCACACGTGTATTCTCAGAACATAGAAATTATAAAGTAAAACAGATTAGAAATTATGAAGAAATTGATAATGGTTACTTCTTGGAGAGGAGCTAAGTTTCTGCAAAACATATCGTGGGATTAAGACCTTGTCTACTTTTAAGTGTGAATGTATTAAAAGTGAATGTATTGACCATCCAGAAATTATTACAGTCAAACGTTGCAAGTTAATATATTTTTAATCTGCTTCAAGAGTAGCAATGAAGGGAAAAAAGCAAGATGTTGTGGGTAAGGGGGGAAAAAAGGCAACGAACGAACAAGATAATTTAAGAATGTATTAAATGCGGGACCGGGGATTTAGCGCAGTGGCAGAGCACCTGCCTCAGCACAAGGTCCTGAGTTCATTCTATTCCCTCCCCGGGGGGGGAATAGAATGATATATATGCCATAAAATAAATCTAAAGGATGATATGCTAGAGAGTAATGGGAGGCTGGCAGTAGGGTGGTTAGGGAAAGCATTATGTTGGGAAGAAAAATAACCAAAGTAAGGTAGGCCCTGAGCTAGAACACAATGTTTGAACCTATGACATAAATCCCCTGACTAATGAAAGAGTTAAAGGTAGGGGAAGAGAATGGGACATAAAAACAATTAAGATATATTATGTACAGGTACAAATTCCCTATGATGAATGTGATCATTATGTATGGTCAACAGGTACTGATAAAAAATAATTTAGTTATAAGACATTTGTGAAGTAAAGTCCTAGTGGTAACAGTAATTTTAAAATTCTCCATTTTCCTGGCGACATTCTTGTGTACATAATGTCCATAGTGTGTACCCCTACAACTCAAAAACTATAATATCAGTCTCAGAAAACTGTGAGAACACAAAAACAACTCTCACCACTTAATTTCCAACCCCAAATTCTTTCCTCCTTTATCTCCATAAATAACTAGGTGAGAAAGTCAGTCTTTTCCCCCTGCTCAGGTTTCTCAAGAAATTTACGAAGTAGAGAAAAACACACACCTGACCTAGAAGCAGTATTGAGGAAGAGGGTGTGTGTGGGGGGTGCTAAGTGTGCCCTCTAAGGCTGCAAGAATAATAGCTAACATACTGAGTGCTACCATATGCTGACACTTCATGTATGAATTCATTAACAAAGGTACAACTGCTTCCCCAATTTATAGGTAAGGAAACTTTAACACAAATAATTTGCCTATAAATAAATAAATTGTCTAATTCAGCATGGCTATTAATTGGAAACGCTGGATTTTCAACTCAGATGTTCCATCCTACAGCCACTTTCTCCCAAGTTCTCTAAAATAGTTGATGTTTGTTTCAGACCAGCAGGACCCAAAATTGCCCAGGCTGGGGCTCAATCCTCCTGCCTCAGCTTCCCAGAGTGCTGGGATCATAGGCATGTGCCACCACACCCCGGTTTAATAGAAGATTATAGGCAGGCGTAGGGCACATGCCTGTAATCCCAGCACTGGGGTGGCTGAGGCAAGAGGATCGCTGTGAGTTCGAGACCAATCTGGACTACGTAGTGAGTTCCAGGTCAGTCTCAATTACACAGTGAGACCCTGTCTCAAAAATATATATGTAAGACCTAAAGTCTCACTTCCTCTCCGAGGAGCGTGAACAGCCGAAAGGGCCTTCATGATGCTGAGTCCTATAGCCCAAAGATGGCTCCGGATGCAAGACCCAGGGCCTTACTTCCGGGAGCCTTGAACAGCCCAAAGGGCCTCCAAAATGCTTGGACCTATAGCTCAGTGAGGCTCCGGGAGCTCGATGAGCAGAGAGTCACCCAGGAAGGAACACACCAGGCTTATTGGTAAATAGACCTTTATTAGTCTAGCCAGACTGCACTCTCAGAACTGAGCAGCTCAGAGAGGCTCAGCACCGGGGCTAGCACAGTTTTTTATACGCAAGGGAAGAGGATTGTTGAATTTTGGTCATCAGCCCTTGGGAGTAAGTCACGTTTATAAACATGCGAAATCTTCCAGAAAAAAAATGTTTTTGAACACCTAGGCAATTTTTGGGTGCCCAGACCATCTCAGTTTGTAATGATAGAATAGACAAAAAAATAGCCATTGGCCACACGATTGACAGTACCTTTCACACCCTTCACCCTCGCACACCCCTGCCCCAGCACAGGCAGTGGAGCTGGAATGTGTACCGGGCAAGTGCTTTTCCCCTGAGCTACACCCCAGGCCTTTGCAAGGATATTTACACCTTTGTTTCTAGCAGGAGCAACTGGTCCTGGGCAGTTACATAGGCTCTGAGGTTATTGTGGGCTCTTCTGAATACTGCTCTCTTCGCCCGCGAAAGGGCTCTCAGATAATACGGGAAATTAACAGGACCCATGTTGAATTTCATTCTCACCTCTCCCAATTTCTACTTGTGTAGTCAGTGTCGTTTCACGGGAACAATGAAGCCCATCTTGCAGGGCTATGGCTAGAACAAGGAAGGTAATGTCTGTCAAGAGCCAACACCGCCATCTGCAGTTAACCTTCAATCTGTTCAGTCTCCTTCCTCTCCTTTCCGCCTTTGCAAGGGAACGATGGAAAGCAACCATTCTTTGTGGAAAAGCTAGATATTGCAGTGTTTACTGTCGTTTGTTGTGTACAACGGCTTGCCACAAGCCACCTGGGAAAATCCAGGGACGGGTGTTCAGAACTGCGGCAGCGCGCTGGGAAGCCGCAAACTCCCCGCCCCGTGGGCGTGCACGCGCAGTCGCTCTCGGGCTA